GGGGTCATATGATCACCATTTGTGATCTTCCCAGCCAACTTCTGACAAGCGAAATCAATAGTGAAAGTCAGATTCACTTAACCACTGCACGATGCATTTAATAATTGCAGTGATTCATTTAAAACTGTGGCAAAAAAAATTGTTATAAAATTAGTATTTTCTTGCTTAGCAACAGAAATTGTAGTACCAGTTATGCACATGCGTAAATTGGGGAAAAAATAGTTGCCTTCAAAATGAAAGCAATCCACATGGGCCAGACAGAGACAGCCAAAGGGCCGGATATGGCCCAGGGTCCATAAAATGTCCAGGTCTGATACAAGGTGCAGCATTTCCAAGCTTGCAAATGGCAATGAGAGTAGTGGTTTAAGATTGCTATATGTAACTCTTCATTGACTGACCCTTTTCTATGTTGCTGATTTCTGAAAGATATGTATTAATTATATCTTCAAGTGAAATCAACGGTCCCTAAGCAGAGTCCATTGTGTTGTGTCCTTGCTAATCTTTCTGAATAAGAGAATAAAAGAGGTGGAATGGACCTTGGGGATCTTCTAATCCAAGCCCCTGCTCAAGCAAGAGACCCTATACCACTGATGGCAAACCTTTTAGAGACTGAGTGCCCGAACTGCAACCCAAAACCCACCTGGCACCTGTATCATCAGGTGCCAGGTGGGCATGGCCCATTGGGTGGATGTGGCCCATTGGGTGGATGTGGCCCATTGGGTGGGCGTGGCTGCAGTGATAATGGCAGACTGGGTGGGACTAAAAAGTTCAATCAATCAATTCCAACTCTGCGAGATCTCTTTTTCCCATGAGAAATTGAAATTGATTGATTCAACATTTTTTTTTTTGCACATGGCGGCAGAGGCCTAAAACGAAAAGGTTTTATAAAACCCAGCTGAAGGCCTAGGACTGGGGTGACGGTGCGCATGCCCGCAGAGAGGGCTCTGCGTGCTACCTGTGGCATGCGTGCCATAGGTTTGCCACCACGGCCCTATACCATTTCAGACAAGTGGCTGTCTCTTCTTAAAAGCCTCCAGTGATGGAGCACCCACAACTTCTGAAGGCAAGTCGTTCCCCTGGTTAATAGTTCTGGGTAATTTCTCCTTAGTTTTGGGTTGTTTCTGACATTGTATCTTTTCATGATTGTGATATAAGAGGCAGAAGGTCATTATCTGAAATAAGTCTACTCAGTAAGAAGGCTATGTTAATATACTGTATATATATATATATGTTGTTATCTACTTTCTATGAAGTATGCATTCGCACACTGGGAGAACTGTGGTGAGGTGTTTAAAGTCTAGATGTATTGGATTACCACTCCGGTACAAAATTCTGCATGTGAACTCTTGCCTGGTCAACCTAGCCTCTTCTTGCTGCTTCCCTGTTTTCCCCAAGGAACTCAGAAGTCGACTCTCTGCTGCAAAGCACAGATAATGAGTTTGTGGCTGGCCCCTTTTAGCCTTTCCACTCACTAACCAGATAGCCACTCTCACTCTTAACAACTTAATTGACCTCTTGCTCTTGCTAGTCATGTACCCGTTTTCCTGTTCCCCCTAATCAATTTCCGTCATTCAACAGAGGGAGTGAGTATTATTTCCTTGTTCCTACATGTTTTTTGCTGATATAGAAAGCCGAATGTCAGCATTGTGATCGATAACCCTGAGGTTGGCTCTCCGTGCCAGATGGGAGGGGGAGCCCCAGGGCTATTAATATGCATACTAAAGACCCCTAAACATGAATATAAGTCATGCCACAGCTCCCCTGTCTGTTGCTTTTATTAGTATTATTTTTATAAATAAAGCTTTGCTTCATTGCTTTTGTTCTAGGATCTGTTGGTCATTCTTTCTGGGCTTTTGGCTACATGAGATGGGACATACTGTACGTGCATTAGTCCAACGCAGCCTTTGGATGAAAAACTTCATTTTGGAGGCTTTGGATCACTAACTTGCTGAAATACCTAACCCAGGGGTAGGTAACCTTGGCTCTTTTATGACTCATGGACTTCAACTCCAGAATTCCTGAGCCATCCATTCTGAGGAGAAATGGAGAGGTTTCCATGCTGAGCCATGCTGGCTCAGGAATTCTGGGAGTAGAAGTCCATGAGTCATAAAAGAGCCGAGGTTGCCTACCCCTGACCTAACCTAATCTAACATTTTTATTTTTAATCATCAAAAATAGGCAAAAAAACCATCTGGCATCTTCTGGCTACATTTTTTACAGCCAATTCCAATATCCTTCTGTCCACTTAAGAAAAATTGAGCCTGAAGGCATAGCTTTGTCATAATTCCACTCCTAAATTGAGGGCAGATATCACATGATAATCCTCTCTGCTTTTCAGTATGAAGCCATGGGAACAGTCATAGAGGGATGTGAAGCTGGATGCCACCTCTGTATGAATGACACTCAGCTTTGTTTCTCTTTTCCATGTTTATCATGTCTGTTTGACTCCTTGCTGGACTGCTGCTTGGGCCACATTGCAGTCTGGATGAAATGTAACAGGCTAAAACTGAATTCAGACAAGATACATGACTTTGGTAGTTGGAGGAAATGTTATTCATATGAATGGGACTACATCTGCCTTTAACGTGGCATTTCTTCTCTTGAAGAAACTTACTCAGTTTGGGGGATTTTCTTTGTTTCAGTCTGTGCTTCAAATGTCAAATCAAGATGGAGTGCATATTTCCAATTATTACTTACTTGCCATCAGTGTCACTTTCCAGAAAGGTCAATTTTAATTACACTACCCATGAGGTGGTTATCTCCCTCTTAGATTATTATAATATATTTTGATGGAACTACCCTTCAAAAAAACACAGACATTACTGTTCGTTGGTTTCTAAAATTCTACAGGCTACCATTGCAGTCCTAGCAAAACACCTGTGTGCTCTGACATAAATCTGAAAAACAGATTCAACATTACTAACCTGAAGGAGCAACTTCTCCCATATGTATAAGTCAGGAACTAATAATACTGTTATGAATGGTGTTTGGAATTTGAATTACTAAAACAATGTATTGCTATATTACAGGGGTTTTCAAATTTGGCCCTTTTATGACTTGTGGACTTCAACTCCCAGAATTCTTTAGCCAGGCATGCTGTCCACAAGTCATAAAAGGGCCAAGTTTGAAGATCTCTGCTATATTATATGATATTATTATTATATTATATTATGCTTATATAATCTTATATTATGCTTTCTGTTTTTTAACTATATTTTATATGTATGATTTATTTTTGATGCTTCCTGTATCTGATAGTCAAATCAAATAAGAAAAAAGCAGACTGCTGTTTCAGCTCACTCATCCCTCAGGGAGCTAGTAGAGATCCTAGCGCTGTACGTTGATTGGCTAAGATTAAGATTTACCTTAGCACATTATCAGTACCTTACCTTCATTTATATTGGAGGAAAATCTATTGAAGCAGTGCCATACAGATTATATTTGTCCATCAGGAAAACAAGATAAAAACCTTGGGCCATGTAACTTCCCCTGCCTCCATATTACGCCTGTGTGAAGTGAAAGTGAAGAGAAAGTGAGAGCCAGTTTAATCTAGTGATTACGCTAGAAAGCCAGAGACCATGAGTTCAAGTCCTACCTTAGCCATGAAAGTCAGGTGGGTGACTTTGGGCCAGTCACTCACTCTCAGCCCAACCCACCACACAGGGTTGTTGTGAGGAAAAGAGGAGGAAGGTGTGTTGGATATGTTTGCCCCCTTGAATTGTTTGTATAAATAATAAAGGTGGGGTAAAAATATAGAAAAAATAAAATATTTGCTGAAGGAGGCAGTCAGGGGCATGTCATCTACAGCAGAGGTCCCCAACCTTGGCAACTTTAAGACTTATGGACTTCAACTCCCAAAATTCCTCAGCCAGCCAAGTCCACAAGTCTTAAAGTTGTCAAGGTTGGAGATTCCTGATCTACAGTGTTTACCAAGCAACATGATAGAAAATATGGTGATAAATGTAATTATAGAGATGTTGATTTACTCATGTTACTTACTCAGGGTTAGTTAAATTGCGGTGGTTTATAAACGTCAGATAAATGCAGTTTTCAGAATCTCTGTTTTAGGCTTCTGCTGTGCTGTTGCAGTAAACTCTTTTGGGTTGCTGCAGATTTTAGGAACAAAGTTGTTGTGATTGTTTGTGGTGGTTGTTGTTACTATCATTAAATTAAAATCACAAACAGAAATAACCAGTGCCCAGAAAGCTAACAGAATAGCTACCATTCTGAGAAGATTGGTTTAAGACAACAACCACTAGCAAAAATTATTATTATGCATTAAAACAGGGGTAAAAGGTATACAATATTATATGAGATAGGTGGGCATATAATTTCAGGGTGGGAGGGAGGGAGGAAGAGAGGAAATAAATTGATTCCTGAGAGAATAAATCAATATTCTTCTAGCACTGAAAAATGCAGATAGTCCTTGACTTATGACCACAGTTGAGCCCAAAGTTTCTGTTGCTAAGTGAAATATTTGTTAAGTGAGTTTTGCCCCATTTTACAGCCTTTCTTGCTATAGTTCTTAAGTGAATCACTGCAGTTGTTAAAGTTAGTAACATGGTTGTTAAGTGAACTGGCTTCTTCATTGACTTTGCTTGTTAGAAGATTACAAAAGTTGATCACATGACCCCCTGGGACACTGCAACCGTCATAAATATGAGTCAGTTGCCAAGCGTCTTTTAGATCACATGACCATGGGGATGCTGCACTGGTCATAAGTGTGAAAAACAGTCGTAAGTGTGAAAAACAGTCATGAATGACTTTTTTCAGTGCCATTGTAATTTCAAAAGGCCACTAAATGAACTTGTAAGTTGAGGACTACCTGTATTACATTGTAGATATTGTTTCAGCTTTTGTGAGAAAAGAATTGAACAACCAGTGCATTCACTTGGAAAAATCTTGGGGACATATATGCTCAGCTTCATTAGTAGAAACATCTTGAAAAACTTTATACTTTCAGCTCACAAAAATGTCAATCATCTCTTCTCTATTCACAGGTGTACCATTCCCCAAAAACTTCCTCCAGATCTGCAAAAAGATCCTGTGCAGGCTATTTAGGGTGTTTGTCCACGTTTACATTCATCACTTTGACCGCATCATTATCATGGGGGCTGAGGCCCACGTCAATACCTGTTACAAGCACTTTTATTATTTTGTCACAGAGCTCAACCTCATAGATCGTAAAGAACTAGAACCTTTGGTAAGTATTTGATTTCTGTCCAGGTGTTAAAAAAAAATCTCAGAGTTTTGTTTTTCTTCATTATATTTATCTGATTCTTCTGTTCAAATTTTATGTGTGTGTGTTCACACACTCTCTAATAAGAAAAAAAAATCATACAGTTTGGAAAGATTTTTAAATTGTCTTGTGCAAGTTTTGATAATATGAAAAGAATCAGATTTGTTACTGGCTGTGTTAAAAAAAACTGTTGTGTGGGTCTAAATAATTTTTGCAATATTTATTTATATTTTTTCTTTTGGTTTTGTCAAACTCATCCTGGCCTCTGGACTATACATTGTGATACAATTCTTTACACTATGGGTGGTCTCTGATGTTACAAATTCACAACTAAGACAATTATCTAAATTGCAGCAAATTATCATCCTTAAAGGATTCCAGACAGCAAAACTGATAGGACTTCCAGCTGGTAGAGAGCTTTGCAGTGAGAACAAGTTCCTGGACTAGACAGATCAATTATCTTTCACAGTATAAAGTAATTTTATATTTGACGGAGCTTATACAAATTCGCTACCTAACATAACAGGCTGAAGTATTTTAAGCTTCCGTAATTCTTTATTTGGCTCTTGTTTTTCTGTTGCCTCATGTTTGTTTAGCAGAATGTACAGATAGTTCTCGACTTACGACCACAATTGAGCTCAAATTTCTGTTGCTAAATGATATATTTCTTAAGTGAATTTTGCCCCATTTTTATGACCTTTCTTGTCATAATTGTTAAGTGAATCACTGCAGTAACGTGGTTGTTAAGTGACTCTGGTGTCCCCATTGACTTTGCTTGTGAGAAGATCGCAAAAGGTGATCACATGAGCCTGGGACAATGCAACGGTCATAAATATGAGTCAGTTGCCAAGCGGCCAAATTTTGATCACGTGACCATGGCGATGCTGCAACAGTTATAAGTGTGAAAAATGGTCATAAGTCACTTTTTCCAGTGCTGTTGTAACTTTGAACAGTCACTAAATGACTGTTGTAAGTGGAGGACTACCTATACTGGGCCTGTACAAGCTTTTTGCATCAAGTGATAAAATTAATGTGATCTCATCACTTCCCCTTGTTAACTCTGGATACTTTCTGTTAATATTCTTAGGATCCTTTTTATACCTCTTTGACTAAATTTAATTCGCTGTGGAATTGGCAGTCCTTTCAGAACTGAGCTGATTGTGTTAAGTCAAATAATTTATTTTATGTTCAAATTCAAGAAAAATCAGTGTTTCTTATATATAGTGTAAAAAAAATTCTGCACATCATCTTACTGAAATATGGTGCAAACAGAAGAAATTCCCCTCGTGTGAGTTTAGCTTTCAATTTTAGCTTTCAATGCAATCAGCATTAACTTGCATGTTGTATTCTGTAGATTGCATTAGATTAAAGGTTGCTTGGTTATCTGTAATTACTGTAATTTAAGTCATATTTGCAGAACAGATGTGAAACAAGAAGTAATTGGAAAGCAGACTCTTACTTTGTGGCCAGACTATTTGAGCAGTTAACTTCATATGTTTGATGAAGGAAAAACTTTAAACAATATCCCCTTGTTTGTGGATATTATATCATTCCAGAGAGCCTGAGAATGTAAACTGAAAATGTGTGCACTCAGTCCGTACTTTGAAACTTTACATTTGCATCTGAAAGCTCAGGCAAACATTTGGGCCTGAGAATTTCAGGGTTTATTTTATTTGTAACCTACTTTTGTCATCTGGCAAATAATCACTTTATCATGTACAATGATAGAACTGCCATCTTAGTAGATTAGGATAATGTGTTGGACACTGCATCTGGACTTGCTATTTGATCTAATATTATTTCCTACTCCCTGCTGACCTATTGGCCTACTATTATTAGGGTCTCTCTAAGTTCTTTCTTCAGGGAAATACACTTATAGCAGGGGTCTTCAAATTTGGCCCTTTTATGACTTGTGGACTTCAACTCCCAGCACCCTGGCTGAGGAATTCTGGGAGTTGAAGTCCAGAAGTCATAAAAGGGCTACGTTTGAAGACCCCTGACTTACAAACATTCCAATGATTTAAGAATTATACCTCAAGCTTCTCATCATGTTTAAAATATGCACATACAGGTAGTTCCCAACTTAAAACCATTTGTTTAATGATCATCGAAGTTACAATGGCATTGAAAAAAAGTGTCTTATGATCATTTTTTATTCTTACAACTGTTGCAGCATCCCCATGGTCATGTGATCACAATTTGGCCGCTTGGCAACTGGCATGTATTTATGACAGTTGCAATGTCCAGGGTCATGTGACCACCTTTTGTAACCTTCTGACAAGCAAAGTTAATGGGGAAGGCAGATTCACTTAACAACCGTGTTACTAACATAATTGCAGTGATTCACTTAACAACTGTGGGAAGAAGGGTTGTAAAATGGGGCAAAATTCACTTAGCAACTATCTCAGTAACAGAAATTTTGGGCTCAATTATGGTTGTAAGTCAAGGATTACCTGTATACCAATTGAGTAGCAGAAGGTATTTAGGACCCACAGTAACTGTTGTGCAAGGAATGCAGTGACTTGAAACTAAGGGCAGGCAGCATTTCAAGGGGCGATTTTCTGTTGAAAAAAACAAAAGGAAGAAAAGGTGTTGAATTAAGATTTGAAGATCAGATGTATGTTTCTTGCTTTGTAACTTTTTACGCTAATTACTATATTTCAAAATTTATTATAGCTTTGTGACATTCGATTGGCTTAGAGTTGCCATTACATAGTTACATTAAAACATTCCATATCGTTTATTGCTAGAATGAAAACGATATGAAATATTTTGTGATTGCAGGGGGAAACAACCAAGGCACGGAGTGGGTTTTTGGTGACATGGTAGAGGAAATTTGAAACATAATCTTCAGAATCACTAACCAGTTCTGCAAAGCAACCTACATAGTGTTGCAATTAAAGAGCATTAGTAGTATTGCGAGAACGTCCCTGACTCAAGTTTTAGTTTAGTCATAACGTCTGTAATGATTGGGCCTGAGAATTTCAGTATTTATTTTATTTATAGCCTACTTTTTGTTGTCTGGCAGGTAATCACTTTACCACGTACAATGATAGAGCTGTAATGAATGTGAAAGTAATTCTGAAATACAAAAATGAGCAAATTCTTTATCTTTCAGTTGATCTACAATATCTTCCAAATGCTTTGAAGATTTAGAAGGCAGCTTATAGAAATAGAATTATTTCTATATAATTATTTCTGTTTAATTATATGGAAATAATTTCTATAGAATTCTATAGAATTATTTCTGTATCATTTGTAACTGAAAGAGATCATGGGAGAACTATAATTTAAACTTCCTTTCCTTTTGGTCATGAGAGATAATAGTTCCCATTCCTGCTATATGTTCTTGACCATGGCAAAAAGATTTGCAACCCGGTACAGGTTGTCCTCAACTTACAACCACAATTGAACCCAAAATTACTCTTGCTTTGCCCCATTTTAGGACCTTTTTTGCCTCAGTTGTTAAGTGAATCACTACAGTTGATAAGTTAGTAACCTGGTTGTTAAGTGAATCTGGCTTCCCCCATTGACGTTGCTTGTCAGAAGGTCACCAAAGGTGATCACATGACCTTGAGACACAGCAATGGTCATAAATATGAACCAGTTGCCCAGCATCTGAATTTTGATCACATTTTGATGCTGCAAAGGTCATAACTGTGAAAAATGAACATAAGTCATTTTTTTCAATGCCATTGTAACTTTGAATGATCACTAAATCAACGTTGAGGACTACCTGTACTCTGTTAAATATATTCTGTTGACATCTTTTCAACAAGCAATATTTTGGGTTGGAGCTATCTTGTCCTATGGTTTGTATGGAGACTTGCCTCTGTTCTCCATGAAGCCTCTGTTGTAGCATTCCAGGCATTAAAAATAAGCATCAGTTCAGTTTCTAAACAATATCTAACTAAAGTGAAACATTTAGCATTTCTCCATTAATGTTTACTAAAGCATTTGTTCATTTCTCTGCATTGTTAAAAGCTTGGACTTACTGTTACAAAAAAAAAAAAGCCAGCAGTCTAGATTTCATAATAAATGGGCTAACTATTAAGTTGATGTTCTGCAGTACAGTACTAGACCTTGAAATGTGAGGGTGGGCAGGCTAATAAATAGCTTTGTGTCTGTAGCCAAGACATTAATCTGTTGTTTGGCCTTTATAGGCACTAAATTGTTTAGAGAAGGAGGGGGAAAAAATCTGCTTTGGTTTTGGAATTACAAACATTTGCAAGCCTACACAATCTTTTCATTTCAGCCTCTGTAGCCCAAACTATTACATTCTCCCTCTTTTGCCTATTTGCCATTCAGATATAGTCCTAATTTTGGATGAAGTAGAATTGGGTTAGAAATCAAAAGGATCGGGTTTTAAGATAAGTATTTAATTTGTAGGCCAAGCACTTCAGTGATGACCACACAAATGAATACATATGGATATATACCATATCACAGCAAACCTTTCAAATATGCGATATATCAGCAGGCCATTCTGTGGCAAGAACAGGGAGTCTTATTTTGTCAGTATGCAAAATCTACAACATAGAAGAAGTAATTATGTACAGACACTCAGCCCTAATCATCCATCTGTATTTTTCCCGCCTTCTGGAATTCCCCAGTTTTTTTCTCTTGACTAAAAATGCCTGTTTGCTGGGAATGGAGTGGAAGGGAAGATCAGCTTGGAAATCAATTGCAAGCCAAAAGATGGGATTGTCCTTCCTCCAACCGATATCTTCCGTCCAAATCACAATTATCCCCAAAATAAATTGGGAACCCACCCTGAAGGGTCAAGGTTTATACTATAATACTAATGTTTCAGTTTAGGTAATCTAGAGCAGAGGTCCCCAACCTTTTGGACACCAGGGACCAGTGCCATGGAAAAAGGATTTTCCATGGCTTTGAATACTGCCTGCATCCCGAGGATGGAGCTTTGCTTATTTGTGCAAAGCTGTGGACCAGTGCCGATCCACGGAGCGGCTGTTGGGGACCCATGCTCTAGAGACACATGTACACACCAGCTCCAGTCTCCACTTCTCTTTCTTTTGATGGAACATATCAGTTAGCTACTTATCAGGAAGTCCAACAAGATCCAGAAATTCTTGTTCCATCTATAATGATTGTGAAAACTTACACCTTCTAAAAATTCCATTGGGAAACAGGTGGCAGTGGCGGGCGGGGAAGGGGAGCCTTGCTCATTCCCAAGTGTTTATATGTTCTTATATGGGAAGGAGGATTTTGCAGTTCAGAGAAAACTGAACTAAGAGAGAAGCAACCTAGAACTAAGGAAAAAATTCCTGACAGTAACCATCAACCAGTGGAAGAGTTTGCCTTCAGAAGTTGTGGGTGCCCCAACACTGGAGACTTTCAAGAAGAGGCTGGACAACCATTTCTCTAAAATGGTATAGGGCTTCCTCCTTGAGCAGGGGATTGGACTAGAAGACCTCCGAGGCCCCTTCCAACTCTGTTTTGCTGTATTCAGAGTTTTTAGGCAAAGTGTCTTCCGGAATAAATGATGACCTTTCATGCCTATTAAGGGGAACAAACAGGAATGAAAATTTGGGAAATTTACCAAAAGAAGCCTGCAGTGGAATTTGAAGAGAAAAGTAGAAGAGTGTATGGACTTATTGTCTATTACATTGATGGGTATTTATTTTTTGTATGTTCCTTTATTTTCCAGAAAGAGATGACAACCCGGATGTGTCACTGAAGAACAGTGGAGGAGGGGAAAAGAAAAGAAGCAGCAATATCCGGCTAACTGAAGAAGAGCTAGAAGATATATTAGTCCTGTGTAGGCCAGGGCTTGCCTTCTTATTCTTAAACAGCAGGAAAGTTTGAAATAGAAGACTATTGCTTTCACCTGGCACCAATAAGTACATTAACCTAAACACGCTGCTAGGTATTCCTCTGGAACATTGTGGATAACCTGTAAAGGAAGAAAGACAGAAAAAAAGCTTCTTTTTTGCGTAGACCCTGAATGATTGAGGAATTCCAAATCAATTCCAACTGTCTGTTTTTATAACTTTACTACAGTTGTGCTTTTAACCCTCATTTTGATTACTGACCTTAAGTCACTAAACTGTGATTGCATTATTGCGCAGGCAGTCTCTATGAAAAGTCTTAGCGATAGTGTATTCCTTTTCATTTCTTTAAATAGGGATAGAAAACAAGTTACTTGGCACTTAAAAATGTTGAATGTGTATTTGATCAAGGCCTGAAACATCTCTTTTAGAATAGGCAGGAAAAAAGCTAATGACCTAATTGAATGGACAAAATGTTTTTCCATTTATAACTGGTATGGCTGCTTCCCCAGATAGTGGCTTTTGAAATCCCTCCAATTGTCCATATGCATCTCATTGGTTTTCTTTACACTGTCTACACAGACTGCCGTAAGAGGTCATCAGTTGGCATCTTAGCAGCAAGAACAACACTGCTGAAGTCCTTGGGATCACTAATAAAAAACGATCCCTTTGTCAGTGAGTTCTATCAAAACTGGCTGCTGATGTAAAGTACACATCTGTTTTCCAGGCACACATAATATAAAAAGTCATGTTCTATTTCTGCATAGAATATAGGGATTGATGACTGGGGCAAAAATCCATTGATGTGTAGGCCAAACAACATGTATCCTTATTTGGAAAAAGAAGTGATTTGCATCTCTGCCCAAATATATTTGTGTGCACAGAAAGAAGGGGGAAGACTGCTCAGGGAGAAACTGGAAGAGAAAAACCTCCATGTGGTGGGATAGGGCAGATAGTACAAGCAATAAAAAGTCCCATCTGTTGACCCAAAAAGCATCTACTTAGATTCATTTCCTAGACTTATTGAAACTAGAGTAACTGCAGGACTCTTCAGAGTGCTAAGTCCAATGTGCAAATACGGAGTAAGTATAAATTAAAGTAAAACCACTATATTCTGCTGATAATGTATTTCATATTGTGACCATATCTATGCAGCTTTTTAGGCTGTCTTTTATGTTTTTCATCATTTCCTGGTAAATACACTGAACTACCATTGTGCCTCAATTAATATGTCTTTTACTCAATTGATTTTCTTTTTGACAATTATTATACTTATCCAGAAATTGATGAACTTGTGTGATTATGCTACTGGTTATAAATGGTGTAAATCCAGAGCTGGTGTGAAGAACATGTGCAGTTAAGATGTTTTTTAAAACATTGGAACTGTAGAACACTTTCTTGGAGATTATTCATAATCAGTGCACTTGTAGTCTCTAGTCTTATGAATTGTACATACAGATAATTGGAATACACACACATACAAACACAGTAAGTGCTACTCATTGCTTCCTAGTCATTTCTAGGTTTTTTTCCTTAATTTGAAAAACAAACACATTGTTAAGCAAAAACGATTAGGGGTAAGTAGCAAATTGTCTAATGGGAAATTCCAATGAAATTAATATTGGTGACTTCAGTGAACTGCTAAAGAAGTATCCATAACTAAATCATTAATGAGCTTTTTCTGATGAAGTTTTAACACACAATTAAGGTAAGAATACAAGGGGAACAATAGTGTGTATTTGTGTGGTCCATTTCTTCAAATTTAATGATACAATTTTAGAATTAGCTCTAGAATCTAGAGTTTATATGTCTTCTTTCAGGCCTTGACATTTTTGCTGACCCTATGCTACCTGTTCTTCCTGAGCTGTTCCAAAATCACTAATACAAACATAATGCAACATAAGATTTAAAAAATGTAGGTACATTATTTGAGTGTATAAGTCACACAGAATGATATAATTGAATGATAATGGTGATGATATGTAAGAATTTGTAAGAATTTATTTTTGATATTGCTATGTTCTTATTCCTACAAGAAGTTAGCACCAACTTTAACATAAGGTAATTTATATCAAATTACAAATTCTAGCATTTGGGACTGGTTTGTTATAGTTATATTTCTTAAATTAATTTAAGATACAAACTAAACTGCCTAAAAGTCAAGGAAATTTTATCTCGAGTGCCACTTGCTTGCTCAGCTGCAAAGAATAAATGAACTGCCTTAGATGCTAGTTTAAATGGGTTCTTTTTTTGCTTGTTTGTCATGTAACTTTTTGTGTCTTCCTTTATATCCATTTTTTATTTCAAATTCTGAAATCACAGAAGAGATTGGATATTTCTTCTTCTCTCTGCTGTAATGTCACAGATCAGTTTCCCTGGGATGAGTCCAGAAGAGAAATGTATAGCAAGGGTGGTCCCACTCTATTATTCTATGTGGTTTTTTTTTCTAAAACAGGAAGACAAACATATCCAGTCTTTCTAATACTTGGGTTTGTTTGTTTTGCTATATTAAGAACTTGTAAATTGAATACCACGGGGGTTTCTTCTCCTTATCTGAGACTTAACAATAATTTAATAATAATTTCAGCAGATTATTTTGAAGAAAGCAACAAGAACTAAAATATATAGATCAGAACCACATTCTGTTTGATGGAGGAATAGGGTGATTACAGTTAAATGATGCAGTATCACCCATAACCAACAGATCTGTGTTAATCTGCCTTGCATGCAGTGACCCATCTCTAAATCCTTATTCAAAAAGAACAAAGAACACAGTTTGACTTTTGTAATTTAAAGAGACAGAGAATACATTTGTTTGAAACTGGAACTATATTTTCAAATAAAACAAAAATCACTCACCCCAATAGTTCAGAGCTTCGCCTGTCCTGCACAGAGTTGAGATAAAACTGATGAATCTCATCTGAGTGATCTAAACCAGTGTTTCCCAAACTTGACAATTTTAAGGCATGTGGACTTCAACTCCCAGAATTCCACAGCCAGCGTTGCTGGCTGTGGAATTCTGGGAGTTGAAGTCCTCATGCCTTAAAATTGTCAAGTTTGGGAAACACTGATCTAAACTAAGCTAAATTTAACGGCTGTCATCCTCAGACAATGTTGCATTACAATTGCCAAAAGAACCATACTTTGGGGAGATGCTGTCCAAACGCTTGAGGGTACCAGATGTGGACACAGCTAATATGGAAGAAAACAATCCAACAGATGACATAATTTAGTGAAAACTAGTTAAGAGCTAACAATCATAGTCAGTGAAGAAGGGTGCAAACATGAGCAACAGGCTGGATTTATTATTTATATAAACCTAGTGAATCATACATGATATTTGAGATCAGCCTAACATTGATTGCACACATTTCCAGCAAAAGATTCTGTCCACATAAAGTATTAAAGAGGAAAGAAAGTGCTTCATCAAAATTAGCTGAAGTGTAAAACATGAAGTTATTTTGAAATATCAAATACAGACAAATATGTAGTATTTATAGTCCTAACTACCTTGTAAGTATAGCTCAACAAAACTAAAAATACAGTTTCTTTTCTGTAGTTCAAATATTTCTATTTTGAAAGAAACTCCATTTTATACTATAACAAGTTTTTTAAAATGCAGTTATGGTTTTTGTCTGATCCAGGATTTGGTTGGGGGGGGGGAGAGATTTCCCAGCTACTTAGGAGAGAACCTGTAAATTTATTTCCAAGTGGTTAAGGTAAACTGTTGTTTTCAGTATTGCATAGTTAAGATTTTTTTTTATTTTGGCTACAGAAATTGAATTCAGAATTATAGGCCTTAGAAATGTCAAAGCCAATACATTTATAGAACAAGTTATATGTATGTGATTTAAATTAAAAAATCAGCTGTTTGATGAGATTGTGTCAGTGAAATAAAATGAGTTTTGCAAACAGGTTAATAATGTTTGTAATATTGCATTGTTCCTGATTCATGCTTTTAATATATGCACCCAAGTGATGTAAGGGATAATGAAGAGGGTAATAAATGAGTGTTATGTAATCAAGTATGATGGTATAGTCCAGTGGTGGCGAACCTATGGCATGAGTGCCAGGTGGCGGCATTCGGAGCCCTCTCTGTGGGCTAATGTGCCGTTGCCCCAGCCTTGCCTCCCATGACCCCCTCCTCACCAGTAGCCCTCCTGGAGAAGAGTCACCCCCGAGTCTGGCCCATGCGGAGCAGTGCAGCCAAGGACATGGCAGCCAGGCAGCGTAGACAAGACTTTGCCCTCATGCCCCATCACGCACAATTGCTGCGGGGCACGGGCAGAGGGCATTGCTGCCATGGCGCTGCTGGTCGATCTGCGGTGGGCCCTGGGGGCGATGAGTTGCCCTGCGGGCAGGTGGGGCGGGGCGAAGGGTGGAGCAGGGGCGGGGCCAGTTTTGAGGCACTCAGTCTCTAAAAGGTTCGCCATCACTGGTATAGTTTGTAAATGGATAAGGGCCCCCTGGGCCTTCAAAATGGTGCCATCAACTTTAGATGTTGAGGGAGCCCTCAAGATATTTCCTCCCTTGGCAAAACCCCCAACTGGATTAGCTAGAAGCCTCTGGAAACATAGTCATCAAATAATTGGCTTTCCAGTAAATTCTTCAAATTGTGGCCTAGTTAAGCATTGTTTTTATCTTTTATTTTTCCCTTCTCTATTTCCATTTTCATTTAAATGTTTGCTTACCTCATAATTTGTTTTTCCTTAGTTTCAGTTCCATTATACTTCATCATTATTCCTTTCTGATCTTGCCATGTTTGCTAGATTTTTAGTCTGCTTCCTTTTTCAAACTGCCCATATGCGAGATATTAATAGTCTACAGCTTTGTCTAAGAACTTATGACCTACTGCAGGTTTTGAGGCTTTCTCACTTGGGGCTTTGCTTATAGATAGAACTCCCTAGAACTGATCTACAGGCCAAAAGATCCAGTGGGCACCAGTTATCAAATGGGGGAAGGGGCTTCTTGCCTGTTTTAATTAGTCTGTACATACGTTTTAAGTCAATATTGTAATGTTTTATTAAACTGACAACTTTAATGTGATTTATGCTTAGTAACTGATAGGAAGATACAAATGTATTCTCTTGTAGCAAGGAACAAGGATCGTGCTACATTATGAAACAGCCCTATTATCCATGATTTATAATGACCACAGTTCTTTCATTAACAGCTTCGCCATGTACTATGGTTAATCAGTTTTCTAAGGAACTAAGCCTACATTTTACAATGGGAGGCTTAGAGTTCCATTTTAAAAGAAGTAGTGGGTCAGTTTATAATAGGTGTCATGCTTATTAAATCTGGATAACTGGACTGTTTAAATTGAACAAAATATAACAAGTCTTCTGGGTTTTCATGCTATAAAAATGAGGCCCAATCTGAATTGGTTGGGAGTTGGGATACCTGAATGTAAAACCAATATCCTCAAGTGGAGGCTCTTAGCAGATAACCACACACTATATGTGAAAATGGAGAGATACAGAGTCCAGCCCATCTGCTGGTATGTTGGCAAGTACCAGAAAGATGTACTGATAATAATTTATTTTTGGCGAATGACAAAGTCAAGAAGGTGGCTTTATTCTGGCAGATTAAAGTTTGATCTAGACACAGAAGAAGACTGCTTTCCCTGGGAGGACATTTTGGATCTACTTGGTACATTTGGCAGGAGACACCCTAACCCAGGGGTAGGCAACCTTGTCTCTTTTATGACTCATGGACTTCAATATTCAGAATTCCTGAACCAGCCATGCTGACGTAGGAATTCTGGGAGTTGAAGTCCATGAGTCATAAAAGAGCCAATGTTGCATACCCCTGCCCTAACCAGTGCAGTGTGTATTTTCTTGAGGAAAGAAATTTCCCTCATTCCAATAATTCCCCTTGATACAAATAATGTTTTTTTCATCTTTAGAAGCTATGTTTCTGTGATGCTCCCAGAACACTGTAACACAGTGGTTCTCAACCTTTTTAATGCCGCAACCCCCAACCGGTCGTAAGTTGAGGACTACTCAACTGATCGTAAGTCGAGGACTACTCAACTGGTGCAGCACCATTTGCAGAATGGGACTTTTGGCAGGCTCAGCAGGGCAGAGACAGCCTGGACAATTCCTATTGGCTTTTGAAAGCCAATAGAATTAGACTCTATTCAAGCCAATAGAATAAAAGGGAGTAGCACAGCTAAGGAAAAGGGGAAAAAATGGCAGACTGCGTTGTTTGGAGACCCCCGTGAAATGGTCATTCGACCCCAAATGGGGTCCCGACCTACAGGTTGAGAACCACTGCTGTAAAATAATGAAAGGAAAATAAAAAAAAACTCAGAATAAGACTGAATTGAAAGCATCAGATAATAACAATAGAAATAGACTCACTTATATACTGCTTAACGGTCCTTTACAGCAGAGGCCCCCAACCTTTTGGGCACCAGAGACTGGTTCTATGGAGAAAGATTTTTCCGCTGACCAGAGGGGGGTGTGGTTTCACGTGCTGCTTGCATCCAGTGGATGGGGCTTCACTTGTTTGCGCGACCCAGTTGCTGGTATGCCGTGGCCCAGTGATGGTCCACAGACCGGGGGTTGGGGACCCCTGCTTTACAGCCATCTCTAAGCAGTTTACAATAGAGTCAGCATATTGCCCCCAACAATCTGGGTCCTCATTTTATTCACCTCAGAAGGATGGAAGGCTGAGTCAACCTTGAGCCGGTGAGCATCAAACTGCTGGCAGTCAGTAGAAATAGCTTGCAGAACTGCATTCTAACCACTGCACCACCAAGGCTCTGTAAACGCTGCAAAGAGAGAACAAACAAGCCCTCTCTTTTCTCCACAGACCAAAACTAGGCTAGATGTGTCTTTTGTGGCCTCCAAACTTTTCTCCATTGGTCCCTGAATGTTTCTGCAGCACTCTATTTACTAAAAAATTACTGTGGAAATTGAATTAACTGGCAGCACATATGTGATAGGATAATGTTTAATTGTAGTTATACTTTCTTTTGGTTCAGGCAACTTTGGGAATGGAGCCAAAACCTTTAGCTGGAAAATAGTTATGCTTCTGGACTTTGTAGGCAGCCATCTCTGGAATGGCTCTTTCCTATTTTTCTTTGAAAGTTGCTTCTCCCTCAGAGAAGTCAAATGAGATTCAATGATCAGATCACAAGGATAGCAATATTAGGAATGGTGGCCGAAAGCAGTCACCCCAGTTTTTGAAATGCATATCTCAGGAGGAAGAGATCCTCATGAAATTTATATGGGTTGTACCTGGAACAACCCTCAAATCAAAAACTAAATCATTATTTCTACTAACTTCCCATTGTTAGGCCTCATCGTGGCACCACACAAATCATCTCTACTTAGGGCTGCAGAAACCACTATCAAAGCAAAGGTAACCCCCATGCTCACAGCTGGAACCATAAATAAGCAGAATTAAAATTTGAGCTTTTTTGGGAGAGGTGTAAGTTTCAGAATGGCAGCTCCTGAAGATGAAGCTTTTCTGTTCATTGTGATGGTCAACAGATTTACCACCAAAAGCTTGGTCAGATCACATTTATGCTCATAGCTTGTCCATGTGTGCTGCAGGCCTGACAGATTTAGTTCGGGGTCATTAAGGGGACAAATACAGTCAACTGGAGGTCAGTCTGTTGCAATTGTTCTTAAATAGGCTAAGGACATTGGCGTGTTTGTTTCTCAAGCCTAGCTTATCATAGAAACTACCGTAAATGCCGGCGTATAAGACGACTTCCGCGAGCGCTGAAATCGGCGCCAAAGACGGGGGTCGTCTTATACGCCGAGTTGTCTTATACGCCGGAAATACTGGTAGTTTCTGGCGTATAAGATGACGTTCTAGGAATGCGGCCCGGCTATAAAGATGGGGGTCGTCTTATACGCCGGGTCGCCTAATACGGCGGCATATACGGTACTGGCATGTCTTGGGAGTGACATCCTATCAGGAGCTGGGCCCTGGTAGCCTGACTGGGCCCTCATGCAGTTAGCCTTAGGGCCTGAGGAACAACACCATCAGGGATTAATCACCATTTTTCTGAGCTTCTTTCCTATGACAATCTATTTCTTAAAATGTGTTGAGCAAGGACTTCTGGAGTACAAAAAACTGGGGCTCTGGGCCCCTGCTCCCCTGTGAATAGTGGGAACTTATTACTGAAGACACCACTGGTTATAGAGGCCTGTCTGATTCCAGGGGGGATGGAGTGGACGGGAGTGGGGTCTGGTTCCTTAGGGGGCAGGGGGGGATCCAAAGTTGCAGTTGACAAGAGTCATGAGCTATCATTTCAATAGAAATGGTTGTGATTCAGATTTGAGCAAAGACGAAGATGCTGAGTGTTAGAAGTAAAGTCTTCATCCTGGTTCATCCAAGCCGGGAATAAATAAGCAAACATGGTGACTGCTTTGGGAAGAAGGTTACAGTTTATTGCAAAAAGATGGTTCTTCAGGAAAGTGCAGAGGAGAGAAGGGCTGAGCACATGGGGTAGTAGGCTTTTATACCCCCTCTAGCCTTGTTTGGAATAGTTTCCTGTTCCTGTGACATGAACCTTGAGGCTGTTTCTGAGTGTTTGTCTAGGCCTTCATATCTGTGATTTAATCCTATTATCATATCCTGCTTCCCAGGTGATGGGGCTGATTCCTAGAGTTTGGGTGGGGTATGCAGATCTTCTCTTTTGTCTTCTTGATTGCTCTGGCTCCAACTTTCTGATGGTTTTACATCTGCATTTGTATGGGGCTAAAGTCTTGCTTGGGGCAGAGAAATAGATTTGGGGCCAGGTTTGGTTTTAAAAAGTCCTTTTGAGGAAAAATATATTTTTCTGCCCTTTTAAATATTTTTTTCTCTGGGCTAACTTCCCTCATGAATATATAATATACTGCAGATGGTAAATAGTAAAAATGTGCCAAGAAGGGATAGGAGACTGTTGTTAATAAAGAATTGGAGAAAAAAAAAGAGAGATGATGCTGAAGTAAAAGTTCACACAGTTTGCAAACTAAACCAGCAAGCAGAAATCTCATAGTCTTGCATAATTAATTTATAATATTTGCCAAGTGGCACATTAGTTTGTCAAGAGTAATTAAAATAAAAGAGGAATTGTGCGATCAGCACTAAACACAGTAGTGTAACTAACTGAATGCACTTATGTTAATGTACCTTCTTACAATTCAGATGTAAATTAGATGTAGTCTCTGAGCATATGAAAAGAGATTTTGGACAATCTTTTTAGGTAGAAAAAATGAACAATTATACAATTCCAGAATTACACATTGCAAAATTAAGAGCAAGGTGCATACTTTTCAAGCAAATTGGACTGGTCCATACAGAATTACTAATGGCATTTTTCCAGGTCTGCATTCATTGACTACAGAGACAGCATTGCCGGGTTTATCATTTCAAAGTCAATTCCTTACATCTGCAGTTATATATGCTTTGTTAACTACACACATTATCTATTAGTATCATTGTAAAAACGTATGTAGTGTCTGTTCATAAAGTTACCTGTGGAGGAAAGTTCTCTACTGACTTTTTCACATGATGTGCCTAAAATCCTCAGAATGGATCAGCTTCTGAAGAACAAGTCTGCTTTGTATTAAATAGCTTAGATTCTGAAGCCATCGTCCCAAGAGTCACACTGTATATTATGCCTACAATTATCTAAAATTGGTGGAGAATTTTTGCCCTTCTCTAACTTGACCTCCCCACCGAACGGTTTGATAAGAAACGGGAATTCATATTGTTGGAAACAAATACATATTCCTATATACATTTGGGTCATGAAAACCTACATGTGAAGTTTGCTGTTTGAATGTAATGTTAAATTCTGATTGCTAAGATAAGCACTGGTCTTTAGCAAGAGACATCCCATCTCAATACCAATGGAAAATGGCCACTTTGCTCCCTCTCAACCTGCACCAAGGACCAGAAGGTAACAAAACCCAATCATCCACAACCCCTTACCCTTGTTTGTAGCCAGCATTGTGCACTAAAAATAAAGTTAAAGCGGGAAATCACACCCTGGCATGATCCCCAAAAGCAGCGTACGGTTTGTAACTGACAAGCGATTGCGTAACCCAGGGATAGGCAATCTTGGTTCTTTTATGACTCGTGGACTTCAACTCCCAGCATTCCTGAGCCAGCATGGCTGGCTCAGGTATTCTGGGAGTTGAAGTCCACGAGTCATAAAAGAGCCAAGGTTGCCTACCCCTGGTGCAACTATTGTCAAAGTTGTTATCCTAAGTCCTAAGATTTAAAGACAAAACACCAAAGCGGAAAGCTCCTTATTAAAAAGCAGAGTGGAAAAGCCGGGCGGGCGGAAGGCGAGGAAGATATCCTTATAGGAAAGCCTGGATTGGTCGAGGTGAAGCTGAGCGACTTGATGCAGGAAGCCTGCGTCATTGTCAGCGACAGCGCGAGTGACTTGATTTAGCCCTTCAGCTGCGCTCCGTTCCATGGACATCCGGGTCTCGGCGAGTGCGTGCGGAGGGCGGAGCCTACGAGGCCTGGCTCGGCAGGTGTGTGTGTGTGTGTGTGTGTGTGTGTGTGGGCGTCGATGGCGGCGGCGACGTCGGTGCTCCTGTCCGCCTTGGCTGCCCGGCTTTCCCAGTCGGCCACCGCCCGCACCTACGGCATCTTTTGCAAAGGGCTGACGCGAACTCTCCTCATCTTCTTCGACTTGGCTTGGAAGCTCCGCATCAATTTCCCTTACCTGTACCTCGTGGCTTCGATGATGTTCAACGTCAGGCTACAGGTGAGCTTTTCTTTGGCTGTAGGAAGGGCTACCCCACACGGGTCAGCCTTTGCCGGCTTTACTTATTTTAAATTTTATATTTTACTTCCTGCACAAACATGGTTTATCAGCAAGCTGAGATTCCTGGACTCATCGCCCAACCAAAGGTAACCTTAGAGATGGCTGGCAGCGACATGAACTTACTGAACTAACCTTACTTTCTGGGTTTGCACTGCCTAATTAGCAGTACACTTAAGCGTGGTTACTGAGTTACCATACCTCGTGGGTTCATCCAATAAAATAATTTGTTAGCTAATTAAAAGGAGTTTGCCTACCACACAAAGCCACATGAAAACAAACCAAGGTTAAATATCATCAAAGATGTGTGTGCTGTGAATGTAGCTGCTGAGGATTAAACTCACCTGGCCTAAATTAAAAGGTAGTAAATCATGCTGATTGTAATGCTTACCTAACCTACCTCAATGGTTTTTTGAATTAACTCTGTATTGCAGATTTTCATGATATGTCAAACCAAAAGGTAAGTCCCTTGGAGTAATTTCCTGCAACATCCTGAAGTGGAATTAGATAATGTTTTACTAACTAACATGTATATTCTGCCCAACCCTAGAGCTTCAGTGACTAGCAACCAAATAAAAGCACTTAAGATGATAATTATCATACAGAGAAATGACAGTAATAATATAAAAGCAGGATATGACAAAAGGACATATTACAACCAGTGGTAGGATTCAAATATGTGAATAACCAGTTCTCTGTGTGGATGCTGCTTCTGAAAATCCATTCTGGCCGGCCTGGGCAACAAAAAATTAGCTACCGGTTCTGCTGAAGTGGTGCGAACTGGCTGAATCCCACCACTGAGTACAACCCTCTTAATTTCCAAATGAGGAAGACTGGGTTTTTTAAATCCATTCTCAGCCCCAAATACTCTTTGGGTAGCTGTGAGCCAGATATTCTTTCTTAGTCCAGCCTACTTCATAAGGTGGTTTTGGTGAGGGGAAAACAATTGAAGGAGGAAGCATTGTATGGGTTCCACTGAGGACAGAAGAAACATGAATTTTACTTGAGCCTAGCTGAGCTAGTGAATGTAAATAAAGATGTATGCACTCATTTACACACTCATTTAAGTTCAGAATTAGGTTTATACATTTCTTGGTTTAGTCCAAAGACTAAGATCAGGCCTCAAGACAAAATTGGGGTTCAGATTAAGCTGTTTCAGAAAATGATAAGAGTCCCTCTTTCTTTGAGGCCTTTAGGGTTGTGTTAATCCAGTACACTAAGCCACAAAACAGCCACTCCTTGCCTGGCCAATTAGTTTTATGAGTAATTGTGCTGTGTAGTTCTAGAAAATTGGATTGAGTAAATGGATAAGAATAGTGCAGTTTGTTTCCTATTCCAAGATTAAAGTGAGAAAAGCAAATGTCAGTCATCTCTCTTGTTGGATTTGAACTGTGGCGTACCCAAAATTAAAAAAACATAGATGAGTTAATAGTGAACTCTGTCCAATAAATACATTTTTCTGAACTCTTAATTATCATTTGTGTAAAACATTTTGGTTGAACTTTCCAGGTTACAGTGATTTGTTCCCAGTTAAGTGATCCTTGGATGATCCCTTAGAACAGGATTTAAATGCCATGAATGCTAAATATCTCAGATGTAATCCTATGAAAGGATTGATTAACCAGCAAATCAGCAAACAATGTTACACTAGCTTAATAGGCAATCTGTGGCCTTCAGATGTTATATAATTACACACATGCTTTGACCATGCTTCTAGAAGTACTCGGAATTGTAATTCATAAACATCTGGATTTCTGTAGGTCACCCTACAGTAGATGGACAAATACTATCAGCTGGTAAAAGGCAGTTCTGTATATCTTACTGATCTTCCCAACATTGCTGCAGTATTATTTTCTGTATGTTTGTTAACAATTGAAGGCAACAGGTGATATTTTATTTTGGAATATGAAACTTGTTAACACTGTGCAGGTAGAACTCATTCGGTTTCTTAAAATTGATTTCTCTTACATTTCATACATTTCTCTATAATGTGTTCTTATGATGAAAATTGTAATCATCTTGATCCAAAAACTAGTCCCTTAAATCTGGATATGCTTTAATGTTCCATTTAATGTGTTTAAGAAAAGATGTTCCAGAATAACTCTGAAGTGTGACACCACAGATCACTTTGGAGCCTTATTGGTCTACTCTAAACAAGCAATTGTCGGATGATAATGTTCTGGTATTTAGTTTATTGGATAGTGGCAAATGCCACATTCAACAAAGTGTAAAAAGATTTTAAATTGCAGCAATCTAATTGTAGCATAAAAGCTAAAGAGTTCTAGAAGAGAGAGAAAATTAAGTTTCTGAAGTACAAGTACCTGGTTTTATGAAAAGTCGGATAGTGCATGCTTGTTGTTAATGCCATAGAATGCTATGTAAAATAAGGTTCACCTTTCACAGTTTATTAGTACTGCTATTACTTACAGATGGTCCTCGCTTAACGTGCCATTGTTTAGTGACCAAAGTTATGACAATGCAGAACAAGGAGTACTTGCAGTGGGTTCTCATAGTTGAAACTGTCAGTATCCTCACTGTCATGTTATTGTGATTCAAACGTTTGGCAGCAAGGCTTGCTATTACAACATCACAACATCCTGCAGTCACAATTGCCATTAGCGACCTTCACTGCCAGCTTCTTTCAGTGGAAAAGCCAGCAGGAGATTGCAAATGGTTACGTAACTATGGGGCAATGCAACCGCGTAGGATTTGCCTAACAACAACTGGAACTGTTGGAATCAGTCATGTGCCTTGTAACAATATTGCTTAGCAATGGAGTTCCCGGGGAAGAGAGGTCTATTGTATATGTTGCTCCATTTCTTTAGATATTGATTTGTTTTAATTACATTGAATAAGCAGCTTGATTTACATACCAAGCTAAGCTAAAATCAAACAGATTTCAGAATAAGTTAGATCAATTGAAGTGTCTTGTTTTATTGAGCCGTAAAATGTAAAAGGGGCTATGGTGGTGTTCTAGTGTAGTTGATGGGTTTTTATTTGCTTAAAGTAGTTCTATGAGATGTTTTGGGGGTTTAATTTACTATATAATCTATGCATTAACAAGTGATTATAACCAAAATGTATGTTTTACTTTTTCCTCTAAAATGGGAATGCCCTTAATAATGAATAATAGTACCAAAATAATATACAGGTAGGAAAACATCAACAAATATAAAAAAGTCAATTTAAAAAAAAAATTTAAACCATGCTGTGCTGAAACAGGATTATAAAAATGACGATTAGATTTGTTGAATCAAATGCAGATTAAATAATACTTTATGGCCTTGGCTTCTTTCACCAAATGTTAGTTTAATCTATCCACAGTTCAAAGTAATAAACTTATTTGATTCCTCAGATAGGCAACTTGAGACCACGGGGGTGATGATTCTTCATCATCATCATTACATGATGATGATGATGAGTTGGAAGAAACCTTGGAGGTCTTCTAGTCCAACTCCCTGCTCAGGCAAGAGATCCTATACCATTTCAGACAAATGGGCAGTCCAGTCTCTTCTTAAAAACTTCTGGTGTTGGAGCATTTACAACTTCTGGAGGCAGGTTGTTCCACTGATTAATTGTTCTGTCAAGAAATTTCTCCTTGGTTCTAGGTTGCTTCTCTTTGATTAGTTTCTAACTGTTGCTTCTTGTCCTGCCTTCAGGTGCTTTGGAAAATAGCTTGACTCCCTCTTCTTGTGGCAACCCCTGAGATATTGGAACACTGCTATCATGTCATCCCTAGTCTTACTCTTCATTAAACTAATACCCAGTTCCAGCAACCGTTCTTTATTTGTTTTAGCCTCCAGTCCCCTAATCATCTTTGTTGCTCTTCTCTGTACTCTTTCTAAAGTCTCAACATCTTTTTTACATCGTGGTAACCAAAATTGGATGCAGTATTCCAAGTATGGCCTTACCAAGGCGTTGTAAAGTGGTATTAACACTTCAGCTGATCTTGATTCTATTCTTCTGTTAATGTAGCCTAGCACTGTGATGGCTTTTTTGGCAGCTGCAGCACACTGCTGGCTCATATTTAAGTAACTGTTCACTAGGACTCCAAGATCCCTCTCACAGTTGCTACTATTGAGCAAGGTACCACCTATACCAGTGATGGCAAAGCTTTTAGAGACCGAGTGCCCAAACTACAACCCAAAACCCACTTATGTATTGTCGGGTGCTAGATGGGTGTGGCCCATTGGGTGGGTGTGGCCCATTGGGTGGGCGTGGTTGCGGTGGTAATGGCAGATTGGATGGGACAAAAAAGTTCAATCAATCAATTCCAACTTTGCGAGATCTTTTTTTTTCCCCATGAGAAGTTGAAATTGATTGATTGAACCTTTTTTTTTTTTTTGCACATGGTGGCGGAGGCCTAATGCAAAAAGGTTTTATAAAAACCAGCTGAAGGCCTAGGACTGGGGCGACAGCGCGCGTGCTCACAGAGAGGGCTCTGCGTGCCACAGGTTTGCCACCACAGACCTATAGCGTACCTGTAAATTATACTTTATGGTCATATCCCACAGCAAAGTTTCTGTAATCTAAACAGGTCCCTTAAAATAGTTAACTGGTCAGTTCGGTTTCAGATAAAGCTATCAAAATTGACTAATTTTATGGTTTTAATGATAACCAGTTTATTTTCCTGTATTTTTACTTTCTTGCAGGTTCATATTGAGATTCATTAAATTATGTCTTTCGTTACAACCAGCAAACATTCCACCACTTACTTTGGATTACTACAATGCAGAGCTTTGAGGACAGGGAAATGATGCCTTTCTCTTTTACCTGTATGGCCCAGGAAGAAGATTTGGGACACCATCACCTGCAGCAAAGGACTAACCTAAGTCAGCATAAGCAGATCCTTTACCTTCTAAGGGTCCTTTTCTTACTGAAGAGCACTCAGATGGCTCATCATCGCTCGCAAAAGGAATCTTTCTCTCTCAAAATGAGATGCTGCCCTCTGTTTCAAGCTATCCCGCTGTCTGATATTGGTGAAAAAGTCTTACCACATTGGAGTAAAGTAACAAATCAAGTCATCGTATCCAAGGAATCACTTGGTTTATTAGAGAAAGATCTCCTGGAGAAAGTCTTTAGTCCCTTCAAGAGCATTACAATAACTGATTGGTTAGAGAGAGGTCATGACTTCATTAGTGAACCAAACAGGTGGAGAACGCTTTATACACTCTGCACATTTTTGACTATCAGAGCCCCAGCATAACCAGAAGCGACAGTTGTTAGAACTGGAATTAAGGGTTGGCGATGAAATGCACCTTGTGTTTCTTGAGATGTTGATTTGCAAGGAATTTCATTCTTCAGATTTGAAATCCAGCCTGGCTGCTTCATTGGGTGAACATCTAGTGCGGCTTTTCGGGGACCAACATCTGTCTGTTTTTTTGATTTACTTTAACCTCATGTCTTTACCCAGTAGCTCTGAATATACAGAAATACTTTCCAGCATAAAATATCCAAGCAAGAATCGTCAGGTATCTCAGTGGTTGCTTAGCTATATGAGCATTAGCACTTCAAATCTCTGTCGTGTAATAGTAAATATATAAAAAAGCAGAGTTTGGAAGTGGTAGTGCTTTCTGAATCTGCTTATTGAATCTTCCTCACTTGTTATTTTTAACATTTTTTTCAGAAGCCGAGTACCGGTGTGTTTTATAATACTCTGAACAATCCAAATTTAACAGCATTACGGAGCTAAACCGACACATAGGCCGTCAAATTGATTCAGTACAACCTTCAGGAATCCCATTTTGTTACCACCTCTGTGTTAATACCAGCACATTATCAATAGGGTTGAATTGGAACAGTATATGCCTGTGGATTGTTGCCATATGGTGTGAGAGCAAATGTTTTGCAGCTTTTACTATGTATTGTATTCCTACCATGCATATAGGATGGGGGACGTTTTTCCAACGTATTTCTGAGCCCCCAGAAACATTAAATATGAGGCAGGCTGAAAGTTTTAAGGGAAAATAAAGAAGTGGAAATCTTACTGAATTACAGTTTATTTATACATGGTCCAGCAATCCTCATTCTCTCGGGTGCAACAGCATGCTGGTTTGGGAGATGGAAGTCCAGTTAAACATATCAAGCAGGTAATCCAAGTTGAGAAATGCTGGTTTAGATGCTACAGCGTTTTCAGCTGGCCTTTAGGCAATACAAAAAAAAAAAAACTGTTTTTTTTTTAAAAAAACCTCAAGATATGTTTGTAATGTTCTGAAAGCCTAATTGAATAGCCTTCTATAAAATGATAGTTGGCTATAGCTGTTTTATAATTATCTCTATTGCTATCTGTTTCCAGGTGCTTAAGGGTAGGCTAAGATGCCTTTTAGGTACTATTACCGGATTTAATAAAGAATTGTTACACATAAGGCAAATATTTTGAGTCAAAAGCCAAAGGCCTGGTTTCTATCATAGGATTAAATAAAGGTCATTTTTCCATTATACCTTTTGATGATGAGGGATGTAGTTTCTCTTGAATATTGAATTATAGTCTAAAATATATTTACATTGGAAGTAGTGGCCTTGCCAATCCTCAGTAGCATCAGTGCTTTAAAAAAGCTATGTGGGTGTTCCCAGCTACCAAAACTTCAGTATTTGGATGTGCAGCCTGCAGGACCTATGAATCATTAAACATTGTAAGTATATTATTGTGTTTGCAGTTGTACTGCTGACTTGTAGAAAAAGTAATCGAACTTCATGACCCTTTAAAGATTCACCATTTTATTATTAAAGATTCACCATTTTATTAGGCAGGCATTTTTGAGACTATGTGCAGCTGATGAAGTGACTTATGTGCAAAAGTGCATGCGATAATTAGCTTATAGCACAGAAATCTTTAGCACAATGCTAAGGTTAGCTCTTTTCCCTCAATAGGTTGCTATGATTATCCATTTTAAATGGCAATGCTGTGTAATACATTAGCAGTGAGGTTAAGATTTCAGAGAACAATGTTCTTTCAAGCCAAGGGGATTTCAACCTAGTTGTAGAACAATTCTTAAATTCTTAAACTTGAATATTTCAAGTTTCCTATTTCTAAAATCTTTTCCACAAGCTTACAGGAGTCATGTTCTGATATTTTCCACCTGTGAACAATGTATATGCATCACTTTCTAGTGTGTTTTAAAAAGGATTTTGATGAGAGAAAGTTATGCAGCTCTTTTAATCAAGTTCCCTATTGCTTTGTGTTAAACTCCTAAAGAATTGAAACATTCCAGCCGAACAGAAGGAAATTTGGATTTTGCCATCCATATCAACACATCCACAACTTTGTGTAGCTTGATAAGGTTTACATTCAGCCTGATTCTCTGACATTTGTTTCTTATTTTCTATTGGCAAAATTAGCATGCTAACGATAAACCAGAATCCAGAATCTTGACTGATAAAACTGAAATCATGCTTAAAGAAACGTCTGTGAGATGGCTATTCTAATTTAAATATAACTATTGTCTATGTAAAAGTTCTCCAATGTCTGAAAAAGCTTATATTTCATGTACCTGCATTTCAAGGATGAAGCTGAAATTGCCTCAAGATCCCCATCTATCATTTTGGATTGGATTGTATCTTTTTTTTAGTAAAGTCTGCACTTTATACTTGGAGACAGGGACTTATTTTCAAATGTTTTTTGCACTAAAGAATTATTTCATCAAGTTTACATAGACATTTTAGTAAGACTTTGTTAGTAGGAATGGGGTAGGCAGGAGTAGGTGCAAAAGAGGGCCTTGTTTCTCCAAAAGTCTGAAGTGGCTTAACACTTGGACTATAAATGACTTTTGCTGCAGCCTTGTGCAAATATTATTGTTCATTTTGGTACTGAACCAATCTATGTATTGAGCTGTAAGGCCACTACTCAGCCCTTAAAAACAGGGTGGTATGGACAACATAAGGTATTTTGTCTAGTTCTTATATAGCAAACAAAATATCATTGGCAGGGACCAAGATGGATTACTGTCCATATGTGGATGTTTATATTTTATGACATCTGTTTATTTTTAGAAGAGTTGATGTACCAAAGGTATTGGCATTTGAACTTAAGGTATACAATCCCTTACAATGTCCCTTTGTTTTAAATGTTAGTTCTAAAAGGCATTGGCCAGTACCCAGCTGTCTTCTGAACAACCATTGAGGTCCTGCTCAGCTGCTAGAGAATACTACAGTGAAGCAGTTGAAGACATGCAAAAATGTTCACATTTACCGATACTCTTTAGCAGTGCTTTTTAAAAACTTAACATATGTTTAAACTAGGATGGATGCAAATGCTGCTCTGCCTTACAAATGATTAAATTCTTTTATTTCAGCCAAAGGCTAGCACAACTGCTTTATGAAGTCGGGCATTATCCACAGGGTGTTTTTTTTTTCCACAGCATCTTCACAAGAGAAGCAGTCTTGGATGATTGTGGCTGATGTTTTTCATGATTAAAAATGCCTTTATATATAGCCTTACATTGAATATGCACCTGTATTCAATTTCATATGTAATGCCTGGATTTGCACACTTGGGATGCTTTTGTTTTATCAGTAGTCTCTGTTGTAAGGTTTTGTTCATGCTTACATGGATGTAGAATTCTGCAAAGTTTTTCCCCCCTCCAACATTGTAAGAAGATGATAATACTGGGGGGGGGAGGGAGGAGAAGAGGAGGTTGCTTAGGATGGTGTGAAACTTCTGAGCCTAAAATAATTTATATGAGTATGAAACCATTACTAGCCCCTCCTCTTTGTTTAAAGAGAGAAAAGATTGCATTTCTAAATCATAGGTGTCCCAACTTTTTGGCTTGCCTGGCACATATTGAATGAAGAATTGTCTTGGGATGCATATAAAATACATAATATAATTAATGTATATAAATCACATAATTTCAAAAATTTACAATCTTTGGGGCCACATTACTAGCTGTCCAGGGCCGCAGGTGGCCTATGGGCCACCAGTTGGATGGGTCGGACTAAATATTTTTGTGATGGAACTTGACAAGTGTAATTTTTCCTACTCCCTCTGGAGGAAGTAAATCCAGCCAACATCCTGTTTGCATTCTTTATATTTGGTGTATTTCCAGGAACCTTATTAAAACTGCTTGAAATTTGTCAGCTGTACTATGCTGAACTGAATCTATAGATTTTTTTGCTGAATTAGCTGGTACACTAAAAACTTCTTTATTCAAATCTGGGGGAGAGTTCCCATACATGGAAAATGTGTATTGAATTACAATTCTTGAGTTCCTCGATTTCAGTCTGTGGACATAATTTCAGAAGTCTTGCAAGAAACAGGTGGAGGTTTTTTTTTTTCATGTTCTCTACCCAGTTTCCCCAATCCATGTCAGTTTGGGTGAATTTATGCAATACATTTCAATTTGATACGTTTCAATGTCTCCTCACTGCACCTGGCTTTGCTCACCCTACAGAACTATATTTTAATTATGGGTTATTAAAAAACCCACCATTGGCTGGACTGGCAAGACTTGTTAATAAATCAAGCTTACAAAATGACTTCACAGGTTGCACTCAGAGTCATTGCTAATTTGTGGCTGGGGGCTGTATTTGGTTACAAGCTTTGGAACTGAGGCTGGTTTGAAATTTTCCTAACTAGACATTACCTGTGGCCTGCCACCTGGCTGAACAAACAAGCTGAAACCAAAGACCATGGTTTAAAATTAACAACGGTTAGGTTTATAGACTGCAGTAAACTCTGTACTCCTCAGTGCCCATGTCCTAAGACTGACAGGCATTGGGATTCAGCCAACACATTTCCATCCTTGGCATTGAGCTTCAGGACAACCCAGAAGTATCAGCTTGATTAAAGCTATTGAACCCAGCATCTTGTTTACAAGAACGCTTTTCAGATTTTGTGTAGTGATTGGCTGGGTTTGAACATCATTCTGAGCCAGAGTCTCTTAAATGCTGTTATGTAGGTCATCTGATGGATTTGTGGCAGTCCAAGCCTTGAGGAAATACTATTGGGGAGGGGCGATCACTTCTAAGTTACTACGGGTTGGGATGGTTTTTTTTTTTTTTTTTTTTTGAGATCTCTAAACTCGGGCATGTAGTTTTCATTGTGCAACACCAAATTCCAAAATATGGTGGGGATGTATTTTCTCACCTACACTGAGCAAAAGAAGGAGATGGTGTAGTCATCTTCTAAGTTGGAATGTTTTTAATGGAACTTGCCCCCTGCTCCACTGGTTTGAAAAAGAAAACAGATTCTTCCTCTAACTCCCTTTCAAGGACATCATGCAGTCTTCACCACCATTACAAAATATAGTTAAAAATGAAACAAAAGTGTTCAGATACAAACTCGGCTACCTTTAAAATATCTCCAGTAGCCTAGAGCAGGGGTAGTCAACCTTGGCTCTGACTCGTGGACTTCAACTCCCAGAATTCCTGAGCCAGCATGGCTCAGCATGGAAACCTCTCCCTTTCCCCTCAGCATGGCTGGCTCAGGAATTCTGGGAGTTGAAGTCCACATGCCTTAAATTTGTCAAGGTTGAGAAACGCTGGCCTAGACGAATTTGGATACCATCACTAATTCAGTTTTTAAAAGTCCTCTTGCCCCAAACCATCCTAGTGTGCAAAAGATATTTCAGTGTTTGAGGTTTGATCTGCAGGCTCTGTTGAAAGTTGATTACCGTAAAGTTTTGTCTTATAAAATATTATTAGGGAATAGTTGAAGCAAAGGCTCCTCCAGGACTGGAATTCTTTAAATGTAAAAAACAAACAGGGATTGTGTGTATTTCTTAAGCAGATGATGATGAAATTGCTTGCTCTTACCACGTGAGGGTGCTATACGTCAAATAAAGGTCTAAGCATTGGGATTTCTGAAAGACTTTCATGGGGGGGGGGTGAAACGTCTGTGCTGCATTGTGTGGTTTTTTTTTCTTGTGCCTCTCTTTTAGCAATTTAGCCTAATGTATCAACATTGAAATTTGTGTATTTGTTGTGATTGTTTAAATTTGAACATGCCACTGTTTTTTTTTAACTGAATTTGAATTGAAAAAGGAGAAATAAAGTTTTCTTGGTAAACAGTGAACTGCAAGTGGGAGAGAGAGGGAATGCTGTTAGTGTTGCCATAAAAAAAACCCCACCCGAATATAGGTAGCCCGCGACTTTTGATGTTTCATTCAGTGACCGTTGGAAATTACGATGGTGCTGAACAAAGGGATTTATAAGCCCTGCTTGAAGTTAGGGCTGCTGTAGGGCTGCCACAGTCACTTGAACAAAATTCGGGCATTTGGCAATCTGTGTGTCCTTACACCCACCGTAGGAACGATGAACACCCCCATTGCCTATCCTCCCCCCCATCCTATCCTGCTGGGTCCCACACACTCCCTACCCCGTCACGTCTAGATCCACTTACCTTTTCCATAAATCTCCTTCAGGAAGAGCTGGGTGAATGTGAAGGTAGGCTTCCATGAGATCTATGGATGCCAGGAAGTCTCCCTGCCTGATGCCTCCAAGAATGGACTGAAGGGATTGCATCTTGAATTTTTTGTATGTTATGTAACGGTTGAGATTTTTGAGGTCCAGGATTGCTCTCCATCCTCCTGAGGCTTTGGGAACCACGAAGAGGATGGAGTAAAATCCCCTGCCTCTGTATTCTGCTGAGACTGGTTCTATGACCTGAATATCCAACAGGTGTTGGATGGCCTCCTGCAAAAGTCTGCGTTTGGTGGGGTCCCTGGAGACTGAGCAGACGGTGAGTCGTTCTGGAGGTATAACTAGGAACTCCAGGGACAATCCGGATTGGATGGTTTGTAGTACTTAGTTGTCCGTGGAGGTTAATTCCCACTGGTGCAAAACGTGGGCTAGTCTTCCCCCAATGGGTAGGTCGGGGTAGGAGTCATTTGGCTAAAACTGGTCTACTGAAAAGTGTACTTTCCACCCATCTTGAGAAAGCCTGGTTGCTCAAAGCAAGCTGTGATATGTTAGACCTTTCTGGAATGATGAGAAGAATGGAGAAAGCGTATGTCATATTAGGGGAAATTCTCCATCACATAATGTAGACTTTGCTGGTCATTCAGACTTTCTCAGTTTTCTTGTCCATGTTTCTTTCATACAGAACAGCCTTCCAGTGACGCTTATTAAATATATTTTCTCACCCCCTCTGCTTCTGCTCAAGCCAACTCCATGCAAGGGATTAAACATTATAAAGTCCCAATTGCAATCAACTGCAATACCTAAACATAAGCCAGGAAAGAGAGCTTTTTCATCGGGTTTAATATCAAAACAAAAAGGATAAGAGGACAAATAAATTTACATGGGGGAATAAGAGTTGTTTGTTGGGATGGGCAGCTAGAGAAATCAAATAAATCATTTAAAGAGCTCCTTCCAGTTCATATAATATATTATTTATGAAACAAGAAAAAAAATGTAACGGAAATCGCATAAGTGAAAGGAATTTATGCTGCTTGCTCTGGCCTGCTTCGGGGTGATTGGATAGTTGTATGAGGCGTACTAGATGCTAAATTAGGGGCCTGATCCAGCGCACGCTCTGATTCATCTGAATATGATGATGCCTCATCCACAATCTTCGTCATAGATGAAAAGGAAACTGGATTTATATCTTCTGTCTGGAAATTTCTGGAAGGTACTGCAGAGGCCATTTGCTTTCGGCAGAAAAGCTTCATTCTAGGGATGGAAAGTGTCAGAACACTGGAGTTTGGCACAAAGAATAGATTGAAAACCTTTCCTATAGACTTGAGGTGGCTTAGGATAGGGAAAGAATTTGCTTTTACTCATAACTCATCTCTTTTTCATTTCATTCATGGCTCTATTTGCCTTCAGACTTATTTGGAACCCAACAGTCAATGTGCCACCATAAGAACTTAATCACCTCTCAGATTCCATAAGTCAGGGTGGGGAGCTATGGCCCTTTTATGACTTGTAGACTTCAGCTCCCAGGATTTCTGAGCCAGCCATGCTGGATCAGGAATTCTGGGAGTTAAAGTTCACAAGTCATAAAAGGGCCATAGTTCCCCATGTCTGCCATAAGTGGTTGTAGCACCTTTAGCAGCAATAAATAAAACCAAATGTTTCCTATAATTGGTGATGAATCTCTCTTATTTCTTTATAGGAATTTCAGACCCATCTTCCAGGGTAGACCTGGTTGTATTCAGTAACATTTGAAGGGTTTCTAGTATGAATTACTTGTTTCGGATGTTGTTGCAACATTTTTGGTGGGTTACAGGATCAATCAACGCAAAATAATATTGTGGAGTCCCTGGTGCTCTCTGAGTTTGACTGTTTTCATGCAGATGTTTCAGTGCTTTTTCAGTGCTTGGAGGAAGTGAGGGTTGCTCTCTGTTTATATGCAGTAGTTTGCCCTGTGTTGATGGGAATGTGGTTTTCTCCTTGCTAATTCCTGATGAAACTATTGTTTTCTTCTTTATTGTTTGTCTGGCATTAATCCCTGCTTATCTGTATGTTGGCTGCTGGTCATTTTATTTCCTTTTTAGCTTTTTTATTGCCTTTTTTGAATGGTGTGTAAATGTCACTTATTTCTATGTACGTGTTGATGCTTATTTGTCTGAGTACCAAGCTTCCAGGAATTTGCTAGCATTTTTGGATTTAGCTTGGCGTAGGATGCTCACACTCACACTTAGTTTATGGCTAAGTCTGTCCATGTGTCGTGAAATTAAGGAATTTTCATTGTGCCTTTTGACTGTTAGTTGGTGTTCGTGGGTGTGCTCTGTTAGCCTTCCACAGAATACCTCCTTACCAACAATTAACACCCAGATAAACAGGAAATATCACCAGGAGCAACATCAGACAAACAAGCAGTGAACAACAGTCTAATCAAGGAGCTGCCAAAGAGAAAATGGCACCCTCAACAATGACAGAGCAAATTACTGTCCATAAACAAAGAGCAAACCCTACTCCCTTTCAGCACTGTACAAGTTATCTCGATGGGTAATGAAATGTCTACACAAAAACAGCCAGCCTTGAGCTGCACACACTCTCTTCTATTCAAAAAATATTTTCTGATTAATATTATTTTTAAAACCTGTTTCATGTTTATATGTATAAACTAACTGTCCTTTTAATGGATGAATGAGTAAATTAAATGGATTTGTTATAAAAATGAATTGTTGATTGCCTTCAAGGACTGCATTCATTAAGAATCTTAAAATTAAAGGTATTTTTGAGACTAGTAGAGCATTTGGGACATACTGTTTAATTAGTGTAGGTTCCATTTTATATATGTTATTTATTTATTTCAATGTATATGGCTGCCCATTTCAACAGTATGAGTTTGAGCAGTGAACAACAATTAAAACCACAAAATAGCAATAACAACACAATGAATAAGTAATTGGTGGCGAGTAGGACTCAGGCTGGGCCTACCCATGAACTCCTGAGCTGCTTCAGACTCCACCCCCAGAGAAGGCAGGCTGCAGTCTCCCAAGACTTTAAGCCTGGGGAGCATTTCCATAAGCCTGGTTATGGGATCAAGGAACTATTCAATGGCCTTGAACAACAGGAGGAAGATCCTC